TCCTCTTCCCAGCGCCAGCCTCGTTGCGGCCGCGTGGGGCGGGCGAGCACGCGATTGGCTGAGCCGCGCGCGCGCACCGGAACGCCGCGGCGGACTGCTTCCTCCGGCTCCTGGCGGGCCGGGCGACGGCGGTGGCGCGGGGCGGATGCTTGGGGCTGCACTGTCGGTCCCGAGGCCTGGAGACGGGACTCGGTCGACACTGCGGTCAGACGAAAATGGAACTTAAACGGCGCGGCCGCCACTGTGCTTAGGGTAAAGGGCCGGTTGGTCGTCTTAAAGACCTGGGGACGCGGGACCCCGTTATTCAGGTGCAAGCACGCCCCTCGGGGGAACGGAGCGGAGGCGGGGCGGGGGCTGCGAGCCTACCGGCCAGGCGGGGACTGTGTTCCGGCCGTGACCGCCTCCGCCGAGGCCTCCCGCCGAGCTGATTGAAGCAGCAGTCGCACCGCAGAGCGACTGTGGGTCGGAAGGGGGTGGTTTATTGCGTGGGTTTGGGCCCTACTGCACATATACGACTTTTTATGTAGGTTTTAGAGGTCCGAGGATGCACCAGCTTCTGGTAGTATCAGGTAAAAGTGTTGAAACCCTTCGCTACCTATTATTTGGGGTCTGTTAGTGACCGTGTGATCCACATCTTGAGTCTGTGCTCTTCCCCTCGCGGTTTGGAGCTTGTAAAGGGCGGTACAGAAGGATATGCGGCCCTGGCCGTGGGTGTGGCTCATGCTGACAGCGGCCTCCCAGGCACCTGAGAGGTCGGGCACGTGCAGGGGGCAACCAATGGATGTTTCTTTCTCCCTCTCCCTAAAATAAGTAAATCAATAAAATCAGTAAACATATCTTCTGGTGAGGATTAAGAAAAAAAGAAGTATATATAAAGCAACTCTTCGCAAAATAGGTTAGATAGATAAAGGAAGTTGCTTCTCTTGACCCTGTGAATCCCTTAGATATTTCTCTTAATTTATGGTTTTGACTTGCTTTGGAGGGTGCAGACCACTGAAGTGTTTAGGCTGGACTCTCCTCGATCACCATTCTTTGTAGGCCTGTGATCCTCTGCTGATTGATTGGTTTTCTTGCACTTTTCTTGTCTATTAGGAATGAATACTGTCTCCAAGATGGATAGGTTAATCTTTTAAACAGCCATTTGGGCTTTTATCAGGTTGACCCCAACTTTGAGTATTTTGTCCTTAATCTTATAATATTTCTATTTGATAGGAAATGCTTTAAACACATCGATTTTCCCTTCTTCCTTGTTGTCACCTTGCAAGAAAGTAAGTGGGAAAAACAATTAAATTCTGTAATTTCATGGTAACATATTCCTGAAGCTGGAAGGGGCCTCAAGAGATGATATGGTCAAATCCTCTGTGGCAGGAAGATTTCACAGGAGAGAAGGATAAGGACCAGAAAGTCAAGTGATAGGCCTAAGGTAACAGTATTGTAATGGGCCATGCTTGTAACCACGAACTGCTTTGCAATTTTGTGTTCTTTTTCAAAAATTAAGTTTTTAATATTAAGTATTGCTTCTAGATAGAGTGTAAAAATTCACCCTTTGGTGAATTTTGGGGTTTTAATTGCAAACACATAATTGTACTAGATTTTGAAATGAATACTAAATAATAATGTTTATAAGATGGTGTATATTTCCAATGCCCAGATGCTACCAGTGTAGTAAGTGAAGCCAGGACTCCGATCTGGTTTGACATTAAGGTTTATGCTATAAACTATGGTGCATCAGTGTGCCCTGTTTATAATAGTACTCAGTAAATTTTCAGTTAAAGGTTAGTTGTTTAATATTAATAATCTTGACCCACTTGAGCGGCTTTTCTTCTCCTGAAAACAGATGCACATGTAAACACAGATAGCAAATAATACCAGCAGGTAACAAACCTCTGCAGCTGAGGTTGGCACTGCCATAGTGCCATATTTCGCTCTATTGTGTTTTTGCTAGAAATCTTTTTAATAAGAACTCCCTTTAAATAAGAACTCTTTGTAACACTTGATGGATACTAAATCACAAAAATTATTCAAGCTGTATTATTCTATATAATAAAAGGCTAATATGCAGAACAGCTGGTCACTAGGATGCGCACTGACCATCAGAGGGCAGATACTCAATGCAGGAGCTGCCCCCTGGTGGTCAGTGCGCTCCCACAGGGGGAGCGCTGCTTAGCCAGAAGCTGGGCTCATAGCTGGCTAAGGATGTCCGACTGTCGCGGCATGGGGAGCAGGCCTAAGCCTTCAGTCGGACATCACCCAAAGGCTCCCAGACTGCGAGAGGGCGCAGGCCGGGCTGAGGGACACACACACCCCCTCCCTCCCCCCAGTGCATGAATTTTGTGCACCAGGCCTCTAGTACTATACATATTTGTCGTTAACCCTCACCCAAGGATATTTTTTCCTCATTGATTTTTAGAGAGCATGGAAGAGAGGCACAGAGTGAGAAACATCAATGTGAGAGAGACACATGGATTGGTTGTCTCCCAAATGTGTCCCATCTGGGTGGGGATCAAATCTCAATTCAGGTCCTTGCCCTTGACTGGGAATCAAACCCTCAACCCTTCAGTGGGAGGACCAACACTTGTCACTGAGCCACATTGGCCAGAGAGTCAAGAACCCTTTATTTTAAAGGTTGAGAAAGCACTGTTGATACAAATGTGGATATTTCCTAATAATTGACAGAAAAAGTATAGCTAGCCCTGGCCATTGTGCTAAGTGGTTTGAGTACTGGCCTCTGCACCAAGGTGCACAAACCTGGATTACAGATTCCATCTGACTGGGTCCTGGAGGCAACCAATCGATGTTTCTCTTGTTCTCTCTTCTTCCCTCCCTCCCTTTCTCCCTCTCTAAGAAAAAATATCCTCTGGTGAGGATTAACAAAAATAAATACATACATACATATATACATATATACATACATAAATAGTTCTTGACTGGAGAATTGCCAGGCCCCCAGTGGTTCTGAAGCAATAAGCTTTGGGTGGGGCCTGGCATCAGCATTTCTGCTGAGCCTGAATCACTGACCTAATTTCAAAAACATTAATTGGCTATAAAACAAACAAAAAAAAACACAAAACTTTTTGTTTCACCTTTTGAAATGCAGGTTAGGATAATTTTTCTTTTTAACTACTTGATCATGCCTAAAGATTATTCATTCACAGGGACAGGGGACTCTTCTGGAGTGATAACATATCTGCCCTTGTGTGGCACCTACCCGGACTATGAGCTCTGTATCAAGATGTGCCTTGTCCTTCTCTATCTCAGCCCTTAACATGGTCCCTAGTACAAAGTGATATGAAGTGGACATTATTGAAAAAATGCTTTTCCCAGCAACAGTATATAGCAGTATTCATATCGTCCCATCTTTTTGGTTTTGTGTTTTGTTTTGTTTTTACAGATGAATTCTATGAAAACAAGTTTTGGAGGCTTCTGGCTCCTTGTACAGTGGTCTGTGATGAGACCCATGTGTTCCCTCTGTGGTCATCTGGGAAAGTCTTTTTTTTTTTCCTTACACACACTTAACTAGGCTGTTCTGCAGTCAATCATTAATTGACTTGTCTTTGAACTTTTAGAGGGCAGGAACTACTATATCATGAAGTTTCATTTTGTACCTAGCACAGAGTAAATAAACATGTTTTGCCATCCAAGGGTATTTTAAATTTGCATTTAAAAGATAAATGTTGAGCTCTGGCCAGTATGTTAAGTGGTTAGAGCATCAGCCTGTGGACTGAAGGGTCAGGGGTTCAATTCCAGTCAAGAGCATGTACCTTGGTTACAGGCTAGATCCCTGGCTCCGGGTCAGGGTGCATGCAGGAGGCAACCTATCATTGTGTCTCTCTTACATCGATGTTTCTCTCTGTGTCTCCCCTTCCCTTCCACTCTCTAAAAATCAATGGAAAAAATATTCTCAAGTGAGAATTAACAAAAAAAAATGTTGAGTCGATGAAAATCAAGTTTTGATTAAATGAGAGTTATAAATGCACTAAGTTACTATTATCAAGGAGAGATTTATTTACTGGTAAGGGTATTGCTTTTGTGATAGCATTAATAATAGTTTTCCTTTTTTTTTTTTTTTTTTTTCTTAAATGACAGCAACGGGCACTTATAAGAGACGGACCAGAGAGGATATGTCTACTTGTTTATCGTAGATTAAAATCATAGACGAAACAGTGGATCTGACAAGCACGCGCAAACCAGGTCCAGACATTGAAATATTCAATCCATCATCTACATCTTGTAAATAATAAATCCACTGTGGTTTACATACAATGTTTAATGCCCGACAGATTAATTCAAGATACTGGTGGAGATGTTGAACCAGAACCATTAGCCCTCCATCCTCATTGACTTCCCTGGACCATTCTGTTTCTCCTCTCCTGGATTGTCCTGAATGTAGAAGAAACTCCTCTATAGCTTCTAAGCAATCCAGTGCACTTACAACCACAAGTTTAAATAGAGATTCTGACACCGGGCATACAGCCGGACAGAGATCAGACGATCTATAAGGTTTGCAACAGGTCTCCCCTAGATCAATAATCATTTTCCATCAAACATATGGTGTGAAACCCTCCACAAGGCCCCTTAACTGAAAATACATCATCGAGTGGCTTGTGAATTGCGCCAGCAATTACTCCTGCATGATCATAATAGAATCTTGCAGATTGAAGGGTGGCAAGTGATATTTGTGTCAGGAGGTTTGCAGAAACTGCTCCACACAAGTCTGCACATTCTGCTTTTTCAATAACAGTAGGATCACCCATAGTGTGTACCACAACCTTTGTAACATGACAAACATCAACAATTACTTCAACAGGAGTATCTTTGGAGACAACAATAAGTTCAACCCTTTTGTAAGCAACTAAAGCCTTAAGCAAATGGGAAAGATGCCAAATCTGAGATAAGGAAATTGAATGAATAGTTGAGTGCATTTGGCAACTTACTCCTCTAATAAAAGACACCATCTCTTTAACATCACTTCTCCATTTTCCTGCCTTAACAAGCGGCTTAAGCATCCCGATAAGGGAGTCAATATCTGGTGATGAAGAAACTTCACGCTCGATCTTGTCGAGCTTCATTCTCCTCATAACCTTCATTACTTCTGGGACTGGAATGTTAATCCAGCAAGCAATAACTTTGCAATGAGAGCATTTTGTAATGATGTCCCTGCAGGCAACAACTTGCTTAAAATTCCAATTTTTGATGCAGGGTCAAATATTTGATTCCCGTCTGATAATGAGAACATGACATTGCATGTTCATCGAAGTGTAGGAGAGGATGTTGGTATGTATGCAACTGCCTTTAAGTAGGATGACACCGGTCTAACCAAACTCCTTCGTAGGCTGCCTGCATACCAGAAAGATACCATTATTAGGTGTCCTGGTAGAGGTGCTAAATGGCTCAAGCAGAAAGATACCATTATTAGGTGTCCTGGTAGAGGTGCTAAATGGCTCAAGTAATGAATCTAACTCACGGGATTCCTGGTATAGTGACATGAAAATTTCTACTCCTAGCTTAAAGCCTGCTGCAATAGCCGGGTCTCCATACCAGCTAGTGCAGCGGTTCTCAACCTGTGGGTCGAGACCCCTTTGGGGGTCAAACGACCCTTTCACAGGGGTCACCCTAAGACCATCCTGCATATCAGATATTTACATTACGATTCATAACTAGCAAAATTACAGTTATGAAATAGCAACGAAAATAATTTTATGGTTGGGGGTCACAACATGAGGAACTATATTTTAAGGGCTAGAAGGTTGAGAACCACTGTGCTGAAGAGTGATCTATTGGAATCCCCTTATACATGGGAGGTCTTGACAAGGAAAAGAAGTCTTCTTGAATTTCTCTTGTGCAACCTGAGCATGCAAGTGTAAGGTAAGTTTTATTTGCAAGGATTCCGAAGTGTAATTGGGAAGATAACAAGTTAAGTCCGTGTAGGAAAGCGGCTTGAAATGGATGGTATAATCGTTTTGTGATTTGGCAAAGTCAGTCATGTAGTTTGTGGTAAAACCTACATGTGTAGATAGAACGTTCAAGCTACCAGCAAGTCCAGCTCGATCATCAGAGGCCTGGGAGCCAGGGTGCCACCCATTATTACAGGAAGATCAGGTGTGTGGACACCTTTTTCACTCAACAAAATAGATAGTAATTTTGCTAAGTGTTGTCCTACAGCACCCTTGATTTTAATCCAGTCACAAATTGATATTAAATCTTCTGCCATCTTGCCAATGCGGCCTTCTGGTAGTCCCGTAATTGCACCTCTGTTTATTTTCACAAATGTTCGTGAGCCAATGTGAAGAGGGCGTTTTCCTCGTACCATCCACTCCCTTGGAAACAAGTTGTTATCCGGTAGAAATATTATTGATTGTGCAACCTCAAGCTCAGATACTGTTTCTCTTAATGCAAATTGTTCAGCAATGAATGGCATAGTTACTCCATGAAGTTCACACCCCCATGTTGCTATCCGCAATTTATTAGCTCCTTCAACACTACACAGAGTTAAGTAATCAATGATGTTTAATCCTTGTATTAGGAGCTAAGATACTTATGAGCTGATCTTTAAATCTTTTGCTTTCTTCTGTAATGGATCTCATTGACATGCTTTGACTGATTCCGATTACTGTGCTTGATTTTTGGAATTTATCCAACATGGATAAGCCATATGCCGCATTGCTCTTAGTGAATAAGTAACTCATTAACCTCGGGTATTTCGGTTCCATATTGAATAAGTCATATTGTGGCACACACGTAATGACGTAAGAAGATAAGCTTAGCCTGTTCAAGTGTCTTAAATATCACTGATTTCTTCATGTACATCCTTCAATTCTTTGAAAACATTGTCTATCTTTTCCTCAAGAGCTTTAAGTTGTGGTCCAGGTGACTCAGAGGGTCTCTTCAGCACCTCCACCAGTTGGAGCAGTGTGCTCCGGATGCTACACCCTGATTCTGCCGACTACGTTTGAGCCACTGACAACATCCCCTGAACTTGGCTGACAGTTTGTTCCATTGTCATCTGGTCTAGTGTTACAGACTCGCTTGTGGCTGCTAATTCCATTATCTCCATTGTCTCTGACTCCGAGATTATCTCCTTGCGAGATGTGCCTTCTTTGGCCTCTTTTCTGGCTTTCGTCCTCTCTGTTGGTGTTTTCTCTTGTAAAAATCTCCTCATCCTCTGCTTTGCTCCAGCTCTCGTCCTCGGAGCTGAGCTGGACATCATCCTGATCACTGTCTAGCAATCTGTCAGCAATTATTTCGAGTGCCCTGATGAGGACTCTCAGCGACATCGTGTCATGTTTTTTACTAGTTACTGGTTTATAGCCTAGTCCTTAATTGCATCTGAGAGCTTCGGTTAACGTGAGCAATGCGGCTTCTAGGCTCACTGGCACGTTGCCTTGAACACTATTGGTTGCTTCGTTGATTTCTTGATCTGTGGCTCTGAAGACAGCAATCTGTCAGCAATTATTTCGAGTGCCCTGATGAGGACTCTCAGCGACATCGTGTCATCCAAGGTACATGCCCCTGACCGGAACCGAACCCAGGACCCTTCAGTCCGCAGGCCGATGCTCTATCCACTGAGCCAAACCGGTTTCGGCGCCTTGAACACTATTGGTTGCTTCGTTGATTTCTTGATCTGTGGCTCTGAAGACAGACTTCAACCCGTCAGCGTCTGCAGAACTTAGCATCTTCTTTTTCATGGGAGGTTGTGCAACAGCATCCTCAACTTCTCGATCAGTCAGTGATAACAATGATTCTTTAGTAGATTTGTAATCATGGAATGTCCTGTCAATTCTTCTTTTTCTCGTGTTCTCGACCTTGCAAAGATAGGGAAATTGACCGGTACAAGCCTTTTGTGGCCAGGGAGCCGAAGAGCTTTAAGGTAGGGGAACATTGTATCCCCAAGTTGCTCTCGCAAGGCCTTCTCTGCATCCATAAAGGCTTTGATCTCGCTGCCAACACCTGGAAGCATGGACACTCTTGACAAGCCTTCATTCACAAATGCCTTCATAGTAAGGTAGGGCATCATTTCTACATAGGATGAAATGAGGTTGATCTGTGCAATGAATGCCTTCCCGGTAGGCCCTTCTGTACTATGGTTCTCCATATTCAGTAACGAGCCAAGGATGATGGTGTCAAGTCCTTTGGAGGACAGCCAGGATGCAGCTGCTTTTAAATCAAACGTAGGATCTATATCAACCACTGGTGGTTGGATCCCAGGCTTGACTGTAGAGTATAATGCACTGAATCTTCTTCCAATTTGAGCCATGGGGTTTTGTTGAGGTTTGGGAATCATGTGGTACATGATACCCAGTGCGCATTTGATGATGCAATTCACAATTTCCGTTGTAGGCTTAGCTCCTGATGGAACCCAAGGTTGTGAATTTCCGCGGGTGTTGGGAACTCCTCTGTCTTCATGTATATAAGCATCGAAGGGTCTTCCATCTATCTCATATAACTGCGGGAAAACAGCAAAAAGGAACCCTGTGCCCACAGCAATGCTTCCTCCTGTAGTCATGGGAACAATCGTGCTCGGGCGCATTACCGCAACGGTCGAAGCACTTATGACCAGCTCTCTAGACGGGAGGTGGATAGCCTTATCCTCTAGGTCCCCGATTTCCAGAGGCAATGACATTGTGTCCTTCCTTTTTATTTTCATAGGAAGGCTTAATAATTACCTTCATAAGTACTTATGTACATCTTTGTATCAATTTTTCTGTAATAGCTTATGCTTTATTGCTATATATAGTAATATTTTGTGAAACTTCTGTTTATATCATATAATTATGACATAAAATAAACTTTTAAACCTCCTATAATTGTTATTAGCCTTATTTGTTAAGAATGGAATCTGAACAGATATAATTGCAGAATACCAAATTGCATGTTCCTTACACTTACATGTTATCTTGTTTAATCTTCAAAATAATTATATTACCTTGCTTTTACAGCTTAAGAGGCTGAGATCTTAAACAGAGGCAGAAGTCCTAGCTGGTTTGGCTCAGCGGGTAGAACATCGGACCATGGACTAAAGCAGTGATGGCGAACCTTTTGAGCTCGGCGTGTCAGCATTTTGAAAAACCCTAACTTAACTCTGGTGCCGTGTCACGTATAGAAATTTTTTGATATTTGCAACCATAGTAAAACAAAGACTTATATTTTTGATATTTATTTTCAACCAAAAAAATGAGTGTCATAGGTTTGCCATCACTGGACTAAAGGGTCCCAGGTTTGATTCCGGTCAAGGGCACATACCTCAGTTACAGGCTCGATCCCTGGCCCTGGTGGAGGTGTGTGCTGGAGGCAATCAATGTCTCTCTCTCACATTGATGTTTCTCTCTGTGTCTCTTCTCCCTTGCACCCAACTATAAATAAATAATAAATAAATAAATAGAAAATATCCTCTGGTGAGAATTAACAAAGACAACAAATTAAATAGAGGCAGAATGACTTCTCCAAAGTCACATGGCTAGCAAGTGATGGAACATTTATTAATAGTTATTTCTGCTTATTTCCTCTCTTCTGTCCTTGAGAACTTTGAGAGGAAGAAAACTCTCTTCTACCCACTTCCATGATTCTGTTAAAAGTCAGGTTCTGTCACAGTAGAAGGCTACTTAGATCTTAACTTCTATAAAATTGGCCCTTATTTTTCACAGGAAGAGAAAAGAGAAAGACTGACCCTGTGGTGAATTGGTCATGGGGGAGGTGGGACACAGGAACACCTTATCCAGCATGACTTACTGAAAGTCATGTCCCTTTAGCTTCTGACCTGGGGTTTCCTGGGCCTTGAAAACGTATTATTTCCAAGTTGTAACTTGGTTCAAATATCTTGAAGCATGATGTAAAATTAAATTCTCAAAAAATTCATCTGTCCGCGGTCCCCTGGTTTATGATACGGATTGCTCAGAAGGAGGTTCTATCAATCTATCTTTAATCCTCACCTGAGGATATTTTCCCATTGATTTTTAGAGAGAGGGAAAGAGAGAGAGAAATATCAATGTGTGAGAAACACATCGATAGGTAGCCTTCGGGGCCTGGGCTGAGGAGAAGCCTGCAACCAAGGTACGTGCCCTTGACCGGAATCGAACCCAGGACCCTTCAGTTCACAGGGCGACACTCTATCCACTAAGCCAAACCAGCTGTGGCTATTATTTTTGTAAAGAGCCACTTCTTATTTTTGATATAAAATGAAATTGAGTAACTTGAATTCTTGCTGTACAGGCCAAATGTTTTCATGTTTCAAAATACCCGCTTGAAACATGCTGCCAATTAAATGAGGATCTACAGATGGCATTACCCTTTTGCTTCATAACAAAAAGGATCTAAATCATTTTTATGGAAGATTATGTGAAGGTCAAAGGGAACGGTTCGGTTCCTCTGATGAGCAGATTTTTTTGGTTTGTTTTGGTTTGTTTCTGTTTCTCCAAGTTACAAAAGTACATTTATTTTACATTTTATTTACAAAGGAACAGCATAATAAGGAACAAAGATAATAAAATGATAGGCGTACATATTTATATAGCAAATACAGGCAAAACTTATGAAGATTCTTTCAATACTAGCATTTATTAGTTTCTAAGAATAATCATCACCTTCAGAAAGAATTTTAGGAGGTTCAACCTATATGATTCAAGCTATGACTATCTTAATGAAATTATATTCTTTGAAAATCTCCAAGGTCCTGGATGCCAAGTAAACCAGATCACTACCAATTTTTAAAAGATTCAAAGACTCTTAGGATATCATAACTGTTTTAAGAAATTGTTTTTGAAAAACTGAAACATACTATCATTTGCTTAGTACAATATATACTTCGCTCACATTAATTTCTTAATTCATTAAAATGTCTTCTGTTACAAGATACTACTGTTCTCTAATGAGAAACATTAAGTCATTTACTATTTATCTCTTAGGAAAATCATTCAAAGTGGGTAGTCAGCCTTTAATAAAATTTAAAAAATCACTATACCTAACTGTCAGTAACCAATTAAATGTTGGATCTTCCAAAACCAGAGACAGGTATTCTTAAGAATCAAGACTTCGCCCTAACCGGTTTGGCTCAGTGGATAGAGCGTCGGCCTGCAGGCTCAAGGGTCCCAGATTCGATTCCGGTCAAGGGCATGTACCTTGGTTGCAGGCACATCCCCAGTAGGGGGTGTGCAGGAGGCAGCTGATCGATGCTTCTCTCTCATCGATGTTCCTAACTATCCCTCTCCCTTCCTCTCTGTAAAAAATCAATAAAATATATATTTTTAAAAAAAAGAGTCAAGACTTCTTAGACCTCTGCACTAATATATCCTGGTGTAAAGACTTCATGTTTTTTTAAGGCCTTTCACTCACAAAGTCTAAAAGTGGCATTCCTTGAGTTTCTTGATGAGATTATTTCAACCTCACAGCGTATTCACTACAGGTCAGGACATGCACCTTGAAGCTAAAGGTTCCTTGGAAAAGCCTTTTCTGCACTTAGCTTTGGATTCTGTCCTTCACATTGGGGAGAGATGGGATGGTACCCTGTGGCTTCTGACCTTCAGGGTGCTCTGGGTACACTGTCAGAATTGAGTGTCTAACACCAAAGCCTCTAGGTTCTCTCCCCAGATCTGGCCCCTTCCCCATTGTTCCTTAGTTTAGGTTTTATCTGTCCCTCTGTAATGGTTTCCTAACCAGTCAAAGGTGGACCAGCTGCCTCCACACCGCTTTCTTTTTCCCTTCCTCTGTCCTGCCCCTCTCTCTTCCTTCTGCTGCTTGAGTATTCTGAAAAAGAGCCATTCCTAACCCCCTTCAATTTTACAGTTCTTTGAAGGTTCTGCATTGCTTAGGGCTGAAGTGAAAACTCAGATCCCTAAGGTGAGGGCAGTGGGGGAGCAGGGGTCTGGCAGGTAATCTAAAGGAGATTAGGAAGCTGATGTAAATGTAAGGCGCAAAAATAGAATATTGGGGACTAGCTATGGTTATGAGAAATATTAATCATGCTTTGTTAACCATGATTGCCTTGTGTTGGTTTAAAAAAGGACATTCTGCCCTAACTGGTTTGGCTCAGTGGATGGAGCGTTGGCCTGCAGACTGAAGGGTCCCAGGTTCAAATCCGGTCAAGGGCACATGCCCGGGTTGCAGGCTTGATCCCCAGTGGGGGGTGCGCAGGAGGCAGCCGATCAGTGATTCTCTCATCATTGATGTTTCTCTCTCTCTCTCCCTCTCCCTTCCTCTCTGAAATCAATTAAAAAAAAATATATTTTTTAAAGGACATTCTGACCTGGCTGGGAGTTGTACGCCCCCAGGACCTGAGACACAACCTTGGAACCATTCTCATTCAAGAACTGCCTATTAGGAAAGTTTAACAACCTTGTTGCCCAAACAATGGAGTCCTACCCCAGTCTCCTACTTCCCCATGTAATCTTTGTCTTACCCTATATAAGCAGCTGGTTTATGGGGGGCTGCGGAGCAGAT